GAAAGCCGCATCATTCCAGCCAAAGATCTCAAGGATGCGTTCTTTTGCTGGAGCAAACTGTCCAAACTTGCTGAGGATTATCATCCTGATGTTGGTTCTGTGCAAAAGGCCATCAGTGTGTTCAATGACAATGTTATGAACTACTTTTGGAAGGTCCAGAAATCAAGGTTGAAGCAGCCAACCCTGGATTCCTTCTTTACAAAGGTAACAAAAGAACCTACAGACAAAGTGCCTGTGAGACAGTCACCAAAGAGGGCTAGGAAGGATGACTCCTCTCCTTCCACCTCTTCTCAATAATTCTCTCCTCCCCCCTCCCCCTCTGCCTCCTGTCCTGCATGCTGAACAACACTAAGGTAAGATAAAGTACCGTATTTTTTACATTTTCCACAGAATTTTTTCAGTGTTAAGTGGTTGTATTTGGGGACCTGGAACGGATTAATCCTATAACGAACGAGGTTCTGGAACCAATTATGTTCGTTATAGCATACCCCCACTGTACTTCACCAGCGTAAATGACCAAATTTACCGAGTAATTAAAGAATTTCATTCTGGCAAGGCACCGCGTAAATGAGTAAATGACCAAACGCGTAAACAAAAACCGCGTAAATCCAGACTCGACTGTAATAATAATAATAAGCGGTTTATTAATAGAGTTGCAGCCGGTGGCTGAAAATATACAAACATGTGATTTAGACATAATAATATACATTCCATACATTTGCATGGCTGTACAGTCCATAAATCAGGAGCTGTTTATTATTTTAACAATAGATGGGATGGTGCTATTCTTCTATCTATCAGTGCGGGCTCTTATGGGCTGGATTTTGTTGTAGTGGCGGACTGCACGAGGTGGGCGGGGGACTGCCGGTGGCAGTAGGTGGCGATGACGAAGATGGTGCAGTTGTTCACTGCCAAACCCTGCTAGTGTGTGGTGGTGGAGGTCACCGAAATGCTTATACACCTCAATTAGGTCGCCCCATGCCCGTCTGTAGTATAAGCTAGGCAAGTGCAGGCACCAGTCTGGTGGCCCTCTGAACATTTTCAACCAACTGACAGTCCCTAGCATATCTCGGGGACCAGAAGGAATGACAGTACTCCAGTCGGGGAAGCATTTCACTCTTGAAGATCGTTACGATGAACGGACCGTCTAGATCTCTGAACGACCTTCTTATAAAACCCAATAATTTATTTGCCTGACTTGCCTTCTTCTCGCAATGGCCCGAGAACTTCAGTTCATTGTCAACATACACACCTAGGTCCTTCTCACATTCAGTCTCAAATAGTGCAGTTTCTTCATCCTGTTGGGACATGTGATTCGCCTCCTTACTGTTGGTACGCCCCAGGTGCATCCTCTTACACTTCATGACATTGAATCTCGGCAGCCATTTCTTCAACCATTCTTGGAGCTCACAGAGATCCTTCTGCAGCTCTTCACAGTCCGCTTGGTTCTTGATTTCCCGAAATAACTTGGCGTCATTAGCAAACATTTGTATGGAGGAGTGTACAACGTCAGGCATGTCATTTATGAAACAAACAAACAACTGCAGGCCCAATACACTGCCCTGTGGTACCCCGCTTGTGACAGGTACGGATGATGATTTCATGCCATTAATCACCACACACCACTTGCAGTCATGTAGAAAGTCTTTTATCCAAACTAGGACATTTCCCGGAATTACATACCCTTCCAATTTGATTTTCGGCCTTTCGTGGGGTACACTGTCGAAAGCCTTTGCAAAATTTACTGTGCGTGTGTCTGACTTCGTGTTTCTTTTATATTTCCAACTTGGGGTGATACTCAATCATGCCTAAATGCCCCAGTGATAGTTCCTCTTGTGCTGGGTAGCTTGACGTGACAAAGCATAATTAGGCATCATAAAAGTGGTGTTGGACCAGCAAAGAGTGGTAGAGATTTGAACTTGCCACCCTCAACCTTCTTTACCATCCTCAACACAGGAAAATAATAGTCTCAATTTATGTTTTACATTGCTTATTTAAGGCTTATTATACAGTATACTTGCTTTATGTCTGCTTTTTTTTCTTGCTTGACAGCGTGCAATACAGATATATATCAAGGGTGGATGGGGTTTTCGGAGAGTGGCCGGTCTCTAACCCACTGAATTTGTTTGTTTTTATGAGAGTAATTGCTTTAATAACCATCGATTCACTAACCAGCGACTTTTCTCGGTCAATATATGCATGTTATTGGGCTACAGGTACTGTATGTTAAGTTTAAGCCATTCAACACCTCTAAATTGTATGAAGAGACTCAAATTTCAAAACCTTGGGAAAAACATTCCTCCATCCCCAACAGCTACTTTTTATCATCTCTAAGCAGGTATAGTACAATACAGTGTTGTACTTAATTTTATAAATAATTATTTTTAAAATTAATTGCCGAATCCTCTAAAAATTTCAAGGAAAAATCACAATTCATAACACTGTTAGTTTAATTTATTAATGATAATACAGCTAGACCCCGACTTACGACTGCTACGACCGCCGCAGATTTTTTATTATTTATTTATTTTTTCTCAAATGACACGCATTTTCTATACCGAAACGTTTCCAGTTAATGTAGTCTCCATGTATAATTAGAAAATTATGGGGGCCCCATGTAAGGTAAGTGCTCAGTCACACTGTATCCATTCCTTATTATTTATTACTTTCACTGTACTGTATCCATTCCTCATTATTCATTACTTTTTCTGTACTGTATTTCATTGTAGATTTTTTATTAAAAAAATATATATATATATATATATATATATTTTTTTTTAATCTATGTCGGACTTACGACCTGGATTTGGGTCCCTAACCCCGTCGTAAGTCGGGGTCTATCTGTACACATTTTCTTTATTGATACAAAAGTCAAGGCACATAATTATAACAGTCCATGTTCAGTACTGTCTTCCTTCTTCATTAAGAATTTGACAAAATCTACCTTCTGAACCAAGTCACATAAGTTCATTCCAAGGTGCACCCATACGAAGTTTGGCCGATTTTTGTGAAGCCAAAGATTGAGACAAGTAGAAAATGGTCAAGTATACATAGGGGGGTATTGTAAGTACTAACCATCAAGTACCAAACCAGTAAGAAGAACTGTCGTGTATTTTTCTCGGGTCAAACAGTGCTGCTGACAATATTCTACAGTTGTATAAGATGGACTGAGAAAACTTGACATAATTACATGTGAAATCGCCATTGCATCATATTTATCTCAATATTATGATACTAAATTGTGAGAGAACACTCTGGGGGTATCTTTAAGGAATGACATCCACACTAACATTCTTGCTATGGGCTCTGAATACAATACAAAAAAATTCCGGTAACAATTATATTAACATCCAAATACTGTAATCTTAAGCTTCCTGTTGACTGTGAAGAACTGAACAAGCTACAAATTTAAGCAAATTAGTGACACAGGAGAAAACTAAGTGAGACCCTTGCAGTCTCAAATGAAGTGTGCTGTGCCTAAACTGTGTGACCTTTTTACCTTATAAATTGACCATTTACAAACAGTCATGGATGGGCAACTGCTAAAAAATATAAATTACTAAATGGTATTCCTTTGTACACACTGTGGGGTTAGCTAGGTCCATGAAGGGTAAATTATAAGAAACAAACTTAATAAATAGTCTTTTGTGTACTACACAGGTATGGGACCATTTATTTTATTTAGCATGCTTGGGACCTGGGGATTGCCAGATAGGGGGGGTTTTCCAGAATTTGTTGTGCCAAGTCAAAAGGTGTACAGTAAACCCTCTGTAATTGGCTGTGAAGCCTCTGTTCAAATCACTACTCACTCCTAAAAGTAGCTTTAACTGTACACTAACAATAAACTAATGGTAATAGCAAAATCATTTTAATAGTAAAGTATTTATGAAGAAAGAACAAAAAATGATACAAATTAGTTTTCGAACTGCATTGCAGTCGGCCCCAATACTCTCGCCTTAGCAATGGTGCTCTGCCGTGGACCCTCCGATCTCCACACACAGCTCCATGGATATAAACTAACAGCTAAAAAAATTTATATACCTTATTATAATTATTTATTGTATTTTTTTGTACTTCCTGTATGTAAGATTGTGTATGCATGTTACCGTGTTAAAAAAAAAGTGTGTGTATCTACCCGAAATTATGAGTTGGAAAATACTTCAAATTATTTTTTAGCACTTTCTGTACTTAAGATTGAGTGTGTATGTAACCGATTAAAGAAAATTAAAATTACTGTACATATATTTAACTGAAATTATGTTGAACGCTCAGCCAGGGAATTACTTTTGGCTCATTTTAAATAATTTGTTCCCGAACATAGCCTGTTTATGGTGCATTCTGAACAACAGATAAATGGTTCCATACCTGTACTGTACAGCACATATAGAAAAAAAAAATACAACTGTACCTATATTAACTAAGGTCAATAAGTGGAAAGACAGAATTGCTCGAGATTTTAACATTTTCCCAGATGACCTCAAGCTCTTGGTCATCACTGTTCAACTCTTTACCCTCACTATGGAAGGCAGCAGATTCATTTATTATGTTGCACTTTCCTTTGCTTTTAACAGGGTATTCACCACTATCACCATCCTGTCTGTTTTCACATAAACTGTTCTCAACTTTAACTGGTGTCTCCTCCAGGGAACACTCTGCAGTATTGTCTCCTGTGTTCACAGATCCACCAATAAATGTGCAAATGATATCATCATATTCCTCTTTAACATTTTCACCTTGAGACCTGCTACTACTATGAGGATGAATGCTTGTACTAATACAGTGAACAGTTTGTCCACTTCTTTCACTAATGCCATCAGCAGTTTTTTCACTCATATGCTGTGCACCAACTTGTCTATGATCACTATCTTCATCCACATTACAAACCTGAATTTTACTAACCTCTTCTTTTAACAATTGAGTTTCTTCAACTTTTATTTCATTATCAATTGGGTCATCTTTTTTGTCAGAGATCATACTCACTTTGGCCTTTATCCCCTTGTCCTGCATCCCAGTAGTTGTACACTTCTGCTGGACAGATGGAACCTCTTGTTGTGGGACACTTTTGTTTTGTAAATTCCTTGCCTGGTATGACCTATTAGTCCTTACACCTTGCCAATCACCATGAGAATATTGCCAATGGTAGTCTAAACTCCACTGTTTATGGACTGCATGAATCTGGCCTCCTTCATAATGCCAGTCTCGTGAATTTTGCCACCCATTCCCTAAATTTTGATTCTGCCATCCACTACTTTGATACTGCCCTCCGTTGCTCAGATACTGCCCTCCGTTGCCAGATACTGCCCTCCGTTGCTCCGATACTGCCCTCCGTTGCTCCGATACTGCCCTCCGTTGCTCCGATACTGCCCTCCGTTGCTCCGATACTGCCCTCCGTTGCTCCGATACTGCCCTCCGTTGCTCCGATACTGCCCTCCGTTACTCCGATATTGCCCTCCATTACTCCGATACTGCCCTCCATTACTCCGATACTGCCCTCCATTACTCCGATACTGCCCTCCATTACTCCGATATTGCCCTCCATTACATTGAATACCAAATTTATTTCTAAGAGTCTTCTGCATTTTTCTGTTTTCCTTGTGGATGTCTTTTCCCCCAAAAGCATCAGCCCCTGTCCTTGGTCTTGGCTGTCTGGCTCCAACACACATCTGCTCACCTGATGATGCAGCAATGTTGGACTTATGACTTTCAATCTTTCCTAGAATATCCTGACTGTTTTTATTGTCATCGGGTGACCCTCCTTGCCGACTTGGTGATGATCGAGATATATCTAATGAAATGTCAACATCACATTGTTTAATAGGTATCAGTTCAACACCTGTGGAACCTGTTACCACTTCCCTTTTAGGCTCAATCAAAATTGGTGTTTCACATATGTCAGGTTCACTATTGAGTATTGGCATATCAACACTTTTATCTTCCCTCTGAGGTTTAACAGAAGTTGGTGTGTCATTGATCTGTGAGGGCATGTCTTCACTAGTGACATTTTCAGTACATGGCTCTGTTACCTTATTATTGATGGATTTTAATTTTTTTTTAATTTTACCATCACCCGAGGGATTTATTAATCTCTCTGCCTTCTTTTTCGTGCGTTTGGTACCACAGTGTTTTCTTTTAGTTATCAAAAAACCATTCTTCTTCCTGGAATTGGTTTGGATTGTTGTACTTGAAGAATCTATTTCTGACTCCACTTTAATTACATTATAGAGAGAAATTTGGTCCAAACTACAACCCAGAGACTCATTGTGTTGTGTGTCTCTGGGAGTCTCTGGTTTGTACTTTTCTTCATCAAGTAAGAAAGTTTCTGTCTTCTCAATCTTCACAGACACACTACTGACATCATCTTGAGAACTTCTAGACAGAGGCAAGAGACAGTTGTTGGGTTCCTCCACACTTTCTATGGAAATACATTTACTTGCCATGTTTAATGCACCTGATTGGTTCCAGTTCAGTTGATGGTCTTTCCAATAACCTGGACAGTACTGTATTCTTCTTCCTGTAAGTAAAGAGGAACATGAGATCAAGGCTGTGAAAAAATAAAAGACAACATTAATACATACAATATAGTAATAGGGAGGCACCAGAACCACATTATCAAGGTCCACCCAGAACTTTACAAATTTTTTTTCTGCAAGATTTAACAAATCCACTAAATTAAATCGGTACCTTTTTCTCAAAAACCCAAAACTACAGTGTAGCTATAATCTTCCATTTTTTTCCACCACCCATCAGCTTAGTGTAGTTTAGTGTGTGGCATGTACCGGGTAGATGTGCTGTACCAGTGTCATGGTCACAATAGCATAGCTAGTCTACTTAACATCTAATAATTCATATTATGCTACATGGCCACAAAACATGCGTGAAACTGGTGAGTTACCCCTAGAGAAAGGTGCCGTCCATTTTTTATAACAGTCTGCAACCAACCTCTCTTTTTCTTCTTTTATCCTCTTCACCACTGATCGGCTCGTTAACCGCTTGGGCAATCGGTCACGTCTCTGTTACGCACTGTTGGCAAGTACTGGGCATGCACCGGCTCCTGAATGTACCTGAACCTGTTCCAGTGTTGGTCAAGTCTGGTCTTGAAAGAGCTCACACTCGGTGCCGTCAACACTTTCTGGTAGATTGTGCCGAGGGTTCACAACTCTCACTCCGAAAAAGTTTGCCCTCACAGTTTTCTGGACCTGTGGCTTCTTCAATCCTTACAATCCTTTGCTGTGACTCCTTGTGGGGCGAGCGTCCACCAGCTCCAAGTAAGGACACTCGACTGAGTAGTGCCCCTCGAGATGCTTATACACCTCAATTAGGTCACCCCTTGCCCGTCTGTAGTATAAGCTAGGCAAGTTCAGGCGCTCCAATCTCTCAGGGTAGTTGAGGTGCCTAAGTGCAGGCACCAGTCTGGTGGCCCTCCTTTGAACATTTTCAACCAACTGACAGTCCCTAGCATATCTCAGGGACCAGACAGGGTGACAGTACTCCAGATGGGGAAGCACTTCACTCTTGAAGATCGTTACGAGGGACTGACCGTCTAGATATCTGAACGACCTTCTTATAAGACCCAATAATTTATTTGCCTGATTTACCTTCTTCTCGCAATGGCCCGAGAACGTCAGCTCATTGTCAACATACACACCCAAGTCCTTCTCGCATTGTCTCAAATAGAGCAGTTTCTTCATCCCGTTGGGATCATATGATACGCCTCCTTATCTTTGGTACGCCCCATGTGCATCCTCTTGCACTTCGTGACATTGAATCTCAGCAGCCATTTCTTCGATCATTCTTGGAGCTCACAGAGATCCTATTGCAGCTCTTCACAGTCCGCATGGTTCTTGATTTCCCGAAATAACTTGGCGTCATCGGCAAACATCTGTATGGAGGAGTGTATAAGGTCAGGCATGTCATTTGTGAAACAAACAAACAAACAAACAAACAACAGCAGGCCCAATACACTGCCCTGTGGTACGCCCACTTGTGACAGGTACGGATGATGATTTCGTGCCATTAATCACCACACACCGCTTGCGGTCATGTAGAAAGTCTACTATCCACGCTAGGACATTTCCCCGAATTCCGTACCCTTCCAGTTTGATTTTCAGCCTTTCGTGGGGTACTGTCGAAAGCCTTGGCAAAATCTAGGTAAATATTGTCGATATTACCACCCCGTTTCAGATATGGGTCCAAATATCCAATACCTTGAGCAATTGTGTAAAGCAAGAGCGCCCCGGCATAAAACCATGTTGGCAGTCCTTTACAAGGTTGTTTCGTATTAAATGTTCCGTCGCGGCATCTCTGATAATACTCTCAAGTACTTTACATATTATGCTGGTCAGGCTCACCTGTCTATAGTTGTTTGTAGAGTGACGATCGCCCTTCTTGAAGATAGTACTCACATAAGCCACTTTCCAGGCATTTACAAAACAGGATCTTTAGGGGCTGGGCAAGCTCGTTGCTCAACTCTTTTAGCACTCTAGGATGCACCAGGTCAGGGCTGGGACTCTTATGGTGCTTTAGCTTCGACAGTTTATTTCTAATACCCTCTTCTGTGAACACAATGTGGGTCAGTGCTGTGTCGAACCGTCTGTCCTCAAACGCAGGAAGGTTAGTTGCATCCTCTCTTGTGAACACCGAGGAAAAGAAGCTGTTCAATGCCTCAGCTTTATCCTGGTCAGAATCTGCGTAACTACCATCTTCAAGCCTCCCTTGAACCTTTGACACACCTCACACGATGCTACATAATCTTTCCGATAGTTAGGCCAATAAAACACTTTCTACTCGTGTTATGGTCCCCGACCGTCCTAAGAGGATAAAAAAAAAAAAAGTGACCCCGAGTTGGCATTGTCATGCACTAACTTTAATGCTGCTTTACGTAAATGTTGAGGTACTACTAAGCAATACGGCAACGCTTTATCAAGTTGTTCTCTTACTAGATACAATGCCTCATTTACTACAAATCTACCAATGGTGGCCTTTGGGTACTTATGTTGTGGAAGTCTACCCCCTTCTAAATACTGTTTTAACTCTTGCCACCTTGGTTCTTTCTGCTGTTCTAAACCAAACTCTGCCTGTGTGAATCCTTCTAGACTGGGGAACTGAGCAGCTTTACGATCCTGGACAACTTTTCTCAAGGCTCTGACTGATCGACTTAAGACATCGGCTACTACACTATGCTTTACCGGGTTTGTATTCAATGATATAAACAATCTCTCGTCTCCAAGATCCATCGGTTCATTCACTGACTTTTGATTTTCTTTCTAAAGACTGATGGTCTGTCTTAATGGTAAACTGAGTACGTACCCCAAAGAAGGTGATGGAAAAATCTGCACAAAAACACAATGCCTAGCACTTTCTTATCGGTGGTGGAATAGTGAGTTTCTGCTGGCTTTAACTTTCTAGAAAAATACCCCACGGGTCGCAGGGAGCCATCTTCCTGTAACTGGTTAAAGGAAGCGCCTTCACAATAATTGCTGGCATCACAATGCAATTCAAATGCTTCCTGACATTCAGTGGACCATACAAAATCAACACCTTGTTTTGTTAGCTCAGCGATGGGATAAGCTACCTTGGCAAAATTGGGAACATATTTACAGTAAAATCCACACATACCCAAAAATTGGCAGACTTGCTTAACCTTAGATGGGGGTTAACACTCAGTCACAGCTTGGACATTTTCTGGGTCAGGCTCAATGCCTCTCTCTGAAACTACATGTCCTAAGAACTTAACTTGCTTATGGCCAAATTGACATTTAGATAGATATAATTTAATACCCATCTTCACAAATGTATCAAACACTCTGGCTAGTCTTTGCAACAAGGTTGAGAAACCATTAGCCCACACTATTACATCATCAAGATAGTTCCGTATATACCCCAGTCTTCAACTGCTAACGGAGTTAGTACCGTACTCTGTTTAATTCTGTTGTGAAAATGGCAGGACTGGCTGAAAGCCCAAAAGGTAGAGTATAAACCTCCATTGATTATACCCAACACTAAAAGTAGTTAGATCTCGGCTACTGTCGTTAAGAATTACTTGATAGTATGCATCCTTCAAATCTAATGTGGCATAATACTTATTTCCCACAGCTTTCTCAACTAACTCTTCAATCCATGGCAAATGTTGTATGTTGGTTTTCAAGTGCTTATTGACAGCTCGAAAGTCTAAGCACATGCTTTGAACCATTGGGTTTGGTTACCAGTACAATGGGGGATAACCAAGCAGTAGTCGATGGTTCAATAATGTTCCGATATCTTATCTCTACAATCATCTCCCTTATTACATCTTTTGCTTTTTCTGGGTGTCGAATATTGTGGTCCCCTGACAGGATTGGGATTGACAAGTTAAATGTTAACGGGTGGACCGGCAATTGACCCTATTTCATGTGGTCCTAGAACAAATAAGCGATCATAAGCCAAAATCGCCTTTCTCAACTGTTTTTGTATATCTGTTTCAAAGGGGCCACTGTTGTTTTCTAATTAATTCACTCAATTCTTCCTGTGTAGTGGCTCCCTATTTTACTTTATCACAATCTGGGATTATGCTGATTGAAATCTCTTGAATATGTCTGACATTTTTTACTGAACTGTTGGAAATCCCATCACAAATTACACAGGAAAAGGTGGTACAGGAAAAGTCCAAAAATCCGGATGCCAGAAATCCGGACCACCCGAGAATCTGGACTTTTCGAAAACTCAAACTATTTTTTTTTTGTAGCTGGCTTTTGTGTGTATGTGTGTATGCGTGAGCGCCACAGCTGCACAGCGACAACAAGCGACCACGCGGTCACCACTTTAAAACGAGCAAGCAAACTGTGACAACGTATGTAATTTTGAGTCCTACTCTTTCCATTTACAGAGTACTGTACAGTATTACCCCGCCTAACGCGGTTTCACTTAACGCGTTTTATCATATACGCGGTGCCTCGCCAGAGCTGAACTTTCACTTAACACGGATTTTTTCCACATATACGCGGTGAGTGTCCGGCTCGAGACGCTATTTTTAGATTTGCCCCACCCGCCACCCTGCCTGACTGCCTGTTTTAGCTCATAAAATTCATACAAATTACCCGGCCAGAATATAATTTACATTGCTGGAATTCTTATAATTTGGTGATCATTTTGAATATAAACATCATATATTTTGCATTAGACATACAAATTTTAGATAAAATTTTTTCTCAGAGTAACTATGTTATCTTTTGTGCAAAATATATGACATTTATATTCAAAATATTCCTGGTCTTACAAGGAATCCAGCAATGTCAATTATATTATTCTAACTTTAATCTGAGGTATTATTTAATACTAAATGTTAAAAACTCTTGAAGGGAGGATTGGTGGGGGGTGGGGGGGAGGGTTGGGACTGACCGCGCGGTTGGAAGAGGGGGGGAGGCAAGGTGGGGTACTTTGATTGACAGATAGTGTCCTGAAGATTATTTTTTTTTTTATTAACTGAAGATATTTGTTTTAGCTCATAAAATTCATACAAATTACCCGGTCAGA